GTTGCCCTGGATCAACCCATGATCTTTTTCGTTTTGGATTATTAAAATAAAATCACTTTTTATCTTCAGTTAAAATTCGCCACTCTTTTTATCTGTCTAGCAAGCAAAGACATGGCGATATTCAAACGATTTACAATGGCATTTTCACTCAGTTCATGTGGAACTTTTCAATTTTTTCCATGGCGTATAGGCCTTTAGAAATTGTCGACTTATCGCAGTTGAGTTGTTCAGCCAATTGTTCTTCCGTTTGAGCGGTGTTTTCATTCAATAATGCTTGCAATTCAGAATCTTCGAATATTTTTGGTTGACCAGTACTTTTGAATCGTTGAAACCAAAATTTACAGTTGGAATACGATGGAGCTTAATCATCACAAGTTATAACAAACATTTCATGAGCTTCAGTTACCGATTTTTTCAAGTCAAACAAAAAAAGGAATGAATGTCGAAAATGCAATTTGGACCATTCATTTTAGATGCGTACAAACAATGAAACTATCAGTAACAATAGCGCATAAACTGTCACATGTCATAGAGAGATATCAAATCTTTCAGTACTGCCAGATTTCAAAATTTGTCCCAACCATTAACTTATTACTAAAGCCACCTATTGCTAGGACCAGAAGCAATTCGACCTCCTAATAATTAGGCGTGGATCATTTTCAGAAGTTTATTCGAAAGAAAGAGAAGCAAAAACGTAATTTCTCTTTTCTCCGGCGATTTGGAATTTGTCGAGTGTATAACTCCGTGTGCGTACAATGGCGTGTGCATATCGGTATGCAGCTGTGTATGTTCGATATAAAATCTATGCTACGTCGAGCATGTATACAAACCTCCTTGCCGCTTTCCCACGAATCAATTTTGACGCAAGATACGGTCGTCCTGACGTCACAAAGGAGGAGCTAAATTCGCTCTTTATTGTTTCTCGAGAAGTTGATATACGTGACATTTGGACCTCGTCACACGCGTGAGTATGTATGTGTGTGTGTGTGTGTGTGACGCATCCCTGCATGAATATCTTTCAAGTTTATTAGAATCGCCGCCATAAAAAGGCCGCCGCTCACGATAAAATGCGATATTGCGTTGTGATATTGCAAAAATGTTGCGAGCACTCTTTATTATCCGTGTTTGAGTTAGCCGATTCGGAAAACTACTCGTGCTATGCACGTTGTAACTCACTATCAGCCAATGACGAGCGGGGGAAACGACTTTTGGCCATACATTTCAAAGTTACGCTCGGTCTACACAGCTTTTCTCGAGCTTTTCCTCGTATCGATCTGACGGTATCAATTCTGGCTACCCAAGCGTCTCGGGTACCACTCGGCTATGTGAGTCTTTCGGGTATTACTGTGTTACCCGAGAGTCTCTCAGTTATTTATTTTTATTATCGTTTCTTCCTGATCTTTTTCTTATTTACTCTTCAAGTTATTCAATGCGCAAAAGTATCAAAGTAAGGCCCCCTCAGAAAATAAAGACGGTGTCTCCGAATTAATTGTCTATTTTCGTGAAAATTGTAGTCTAAATACTTGTCATATTGGTATAATTTTATGCATATTTCTGTACAATACCCGCATATTTATAATTTTCCCACTGCTTTCTATATTTGGCCAACGCGGCCTTCAAATTTAACACCCTTAGATTTCTTTGCCTTGGATTTCATTATGTTCCGAGATTTATTTTGAGATATATTTTGTTTAGATATATAGCAATATCATGGAGGCGTTCTTTATTATAATTCCTCTTATTTTGCAAAATAGATGGTTACTTTAGAGTCATTTACTTAGAGCTTTATATTTGAATATGTTGAAATCAAACGTGAAATATTTGATAGAGCACTCTTTTTCTGTTAAACTTAATAGTTATATATTAAGGCAGACTCATGAGGAGAATATATTTATATAAAGACAAACATGTGAGACGCCATTAAAAAAAGTAGTTCCGGTTTCGGTTACTTGAGTACTCTCGAGTATCCGCTTATCGACTCTTGTCACTTTTCCTTTTTGTTTATTAGTTTTTCTTATTGGCATTATTATCTTATTATCATTATTCTGATCATCATCTCTTCTCACTTATTAGTTATTTGTTTATAAATCGGTCTGCGCAGAACAATATTATGAGTGTAATGGGTCAGCAAAGAACGAATACTTTATGAAATGTTTAGTTTTCACACGCTGAAATACGTCGAAATAAGGTACGAAATATTCGATAAAGTACTCTCTTTCTGTTGACCTTACTTCAAAACTTTCCTGCGCAGATCGTCGAGGAGACTATATTTGCGCAAAGACAAACATGCGATGCTGTTGAAAACATTTTTTCCATCCTAAATTGATACTTGCTCGTACCCACGTATTTGGATACTCGGGAAATACCCAGTTTATACTGACAACGCTGCTATTGATCTTCTTTCCTACGCGGCAACTGGCGTTGAAAAATTGCACGTCTCTCTCTCTCTCTCTCTCTCTCTCTCTCTCTCTCTCTCTCTCTCTCTCTCTCTCTCTCGTCGATTCGACGTCCGCGCGAACACGCACACTCGCGACGACCGCTCGCGATCGGCACGGACTTGCCGCGAACGAATTTTTACGACGACCGCAACGAGCCACGACGAGCAATGAAGAGCCTGGCGACGAGTCCTCGATTCGTTTACGAGCGGTTTAGCGGAGGAAATCTCGCGGAAACCTCGTGGCAGTGCCGCATGTGGTTGATGCGCGGTGATGCCCATAAACGCTTAACCACATCCTGCGGATTTAACTCGGGGCATCCCCTCGCCTGGCTTGAGGTGAGCGGCTCGGCTTATGGAGGAATTTTCGTCCTGCGAAGAATCCCTGGTACGTATGCGGAAACCTCCCCCTCCCCGCCTTTTCTCTTCCTCATTATTCCAGTCTGTCTAGTTGCCTATACGATTTACCGTTCACGGAAAATATCGAATGACGCTGCAATGGGCGGTGGATCGGGCTGCTTCTCTCGGTGAAGGATCGGAGAACGGAAGCAAGAGAAAAAAAGATGTCAATCTGAGAGACGCCGCGAGAGATGAAAATCGTCAAACGTTCAAAGCGCGAGATAATCCGATAAAGAAGCAATCTACTTCTCATTTGACGGGGAAACGTAAAATATGCAGCGAAATTCATTCGTTTCCAACGGCATCGTTCATTAATTCGTGGCGCTTCGCGAGCTCGGTACCGGCTACTGTCATTGCAAATGACGTCGACTTTGTGACTTGTTTCTGTGTGTAAGTCTTACTTTGTCGAGGGAGTCTCTCCTCCTCGGAATGAGCCTGCCCGAGAGCGGTTCCCAATGACGGTCGCATGGCGAAATTAAAGTCAAACGAAGCGATGCGCGCGCGTCACTCTCGCGGATCAACCGGAAGTTACGTTCACGGCAGAGCACCGGAAATCCATTACCCGGACGAAGTTTGGCAAAGCGACACGATGCAACCCATGGCTTTTTCTGAACCTTCCAATCCAGCATCTCTGCACCGGCGAGGCAGATCGAATGGATTCGATGCCGCAATTGGCGGATCGCGGGCTATGTTTTCGTGTAATTACGTGAACTTCTATCTCGTGATGCAGAAAACAAAATCGGAGAAAAAAATAATTAATTTCAATGCACTTATAGTTATTATAATTAATGATTATAATCGTTAGTCCCATTAAATTACACATATATATGGTATATATATGATTTAATAGAATATATAATCTAATATATATTAGAGATTAATTTTAGATAGGGTTAGACTTATTATTTGATATTATATATAATATATAATTATAGTATATATAAAAAATAGCCGTAACAATATGCGAATGAGATTTTTGCCACTAATTAGAATTCGGAAGTAATTCGTTATTTATAATGAAGTTACAATTAGAATCATTTTTTTCGGTGATTGTAACTTAGTTATATTTTTTTGGTAATTAATAACTAATTTAATAGTTATTGTATTTTGTAGCTGGTCATGATGTAGATTACTGTATATTGTACACTTCACGAAATTGTTCGGGAATTATAGATCAAGAATTGCGGAATAAAGTGAGTATGTCATTAATATTTTATTAATAAAACACGTGTTTTAATATTTTAATAAAGTTTATTAAAATATTGAAACATTGTACTTTATTATAATATTATATATTGTCTTGTAATGAGAAAATAATATTTAATGTGTAATGAATATTAATCAAAATGTAATGTAATGAATCGTAATGAATATTAAAATGAACGTTAAAATATACTTTATTGTAATATTACATGTCGTCTTGTGATGTATATGTTTATGATAAATTTATCAGTATTTAGATAAAGTATATGATTTATTTCTTTTATCTCACAAGAAAGAGATTGTCATTTATTGAATGTTAAATTATATAATATATAATTAAATATGTAGTATGTAAGAAATCAGCAAAACTTGAAACGTAAGATTGTCATATTTAAAATAGTAGCGCACACAATTACTGCAAGAAGGTAACTGAAACCTAACGACTTTTTGAGCAATTTTTTAGTATTGACTATAATTTTGAGCAACTGTAACTGTAACGATTTGTCAGAATCGATAACTTGTAGCTTTAACCAGTTACCTTTTCAATAAACAAATTACAACTGTAACTAGATTACTTTTGTAACTTTCCCAGCCCTGCCACTAGCACTAAGTCACTATCAATTACTAAGTTAAGTATAACTATAATTACATAATACATATATATATATAATAGGCATTTTTGCTAATTATAATTATTTCACTGCGCAATTCCTCAGTCATAAGAAACCAAATACTTCGTTCTCAATGCGCGCGCATGCAATTCTCGCGCACATTGTCACAGAGGAGCGAGAGACGTCGCGGATTCCACGGAAGCAAGGAAAAGAAGAGAAAGAAAGAGAGGAGGTGAGGGATGGCAGAAAGGTGGCACGACGCCCGAGGGGTGAGAAAGAAACACCCCGTGTGGGCGCGCAGCGGCGGCGACGGCGGCGGCGACGGCGGATCCGCCGAAAGCTCGGCCGTCACAGGCAGGCGTCGACGCAAACACGTATAAAGGCCGGCGTCGCGGCGCCCTCGGCGTCATTCCCGCGCAGACACTAAAGCCACGGTGCCCGGTCGCGCGGCGTCGGTGACCTACAGAGGAGAGCCGTATTGCATCCTCGGAGTCACGTGTGAAAGCACGCACGGCCGAACGAACGAACGAACGAACGAACGAACGGAAGAAAGGAACGCTGTCCCTCGCGCGCACAAAAAATCTCACCCCCGAAGAGCAAGAAAGGGAACAAAGAGGAAGAGAGAGAGAGAGAGAGAGAGAGAGAGAGAGAGAGAGAGAGAACGCGAACGACAGCTTCTCCTTACGTCTCTCTTTCCCTCGCACCTGATTGTCTCGCAGGACCGCAGGATCGCTGCCGATATTTTCCCAGCAACAGGTGAGCAGTTCAACAACCGTTCGCTCGCGCGTCTTTTATTCGCGCGTATTATACTCTCTCGGCGTCTTCGTCGTCCTTACGCGAGTCTCATCCTGCTTTTTTCCCTTTCCTCCCTTCTCACCGCGGTTATTCATGGCTTACTTTGCTGTGCGCTCCTCTGCGCAACAGGCAACGGAGATTCGTTTCTCTCCGCCTCGTTTGCCTTCGCGCGAGATGGTCGGCTTGAATTTCGCCTACCGAGAGGGAGAGAAAGAGACAAAAGTATCGTCCAGGCTGATTTCAAGCCGGGTGCTTGAGGTGGAACTGAACGGCGGGGAAATCTTCGGACATCGAGTGACGACACGTTTCGGGTCCGATGGAATGTGCTTCATCTCGCAAGTTGCAGGCGTGAGCGCGAATAGAACTGTCGAGTGTGATCGCGTCATCATCAGGACGACACGTTCTTCGGACAGTGCCAAACGCCGCCTGATGTTCCTCGTATATATAATAACAATAATAATAACGATAATAGTTCGCGTCGCACAGGCAGCTCCGATAATAATGTTAACCCCATTTCCGCTTTCGAGATCTCGCCTCGGCCGCATCTGTCTACGTATTCTTGACTGGCTTTTGGGAGAATCGGCGAACCAGTCGCATTAATCCTTAAAAGTCATCGCCGGAGAAAATCACGTAATGACAAAATTTCACCCCGATATCATATCTTTCTTCATTTTAGGAATCGAAAAAATCAAACGAACGCAATCAAATGTTTTATTATTATCGAATGTCAGATGAAAAGTTAGGGAAGTTATCGTTCGCAGTGGATAATTTAACTAATAAGATCAAAATAAGATATTCGCACGCATAGGGTGAAATTTCGCCGATGGTAGCATTTAAGGGTTAAGTGCGGCAGTAATGGCGCGCACATGTGCATTCACTGTGTACATACAAGTACTGCTGTACCTCATGCGGCCGAGTTGCCGAATTCTTTTCAAAAGCAGTTTTTCAGCAGTCAAGGTAGAGGAATGTGTAGACACGGTGCGCTCGAGATCCCTGAACCAGAAGTGCAAAACATTGTCGAAGATATCTGTACTTTTTTCTTCGATGTTTGACACGCACGACAGACTCTTCTCATCACGCGGCTCGTTCTTTTTCTCTCCGTTCCCATTCCGTTCTTCTCGCGTTAATCGCTCCCTTTTTAATCGCTCGCAAGCCGATTACGCGTCTGAGCCCGTTCGATATTTACTCGCATGAGAGTGGGCTTTAATGATATTAATTTAAACATTTCATCTCGCGGGTGGAGTCCGTTGAAAGAATCAATTCGATCGGTAGAGAAATATGTTATATGCCATGGAAATGGTGACATTACGGTCCCTTTAAGGGACCGTATGACCGCGAGGAGCGTTTCGATCCAGCAACTCGCGTCTCGAGCACCCTTAAGTCTCAACAAGTGATTCTTTCACGTCAGCTTGTTACTCGCAAGCACGTCTTTTGAGACAGTAGCAACAGGTGAGCGTGTGTTAAGAATTTTGCCCCTTAACGAGGTCGTTACGCGAAGTTTTTACATCTCGCTCTTGTTCCCTTAATTATGCTAAATTAACTCTTTTCACGTATATACGGGATAAAATAAGAGAGAGAGAGAGAGAGAGAGAGAGAGAGAGAGAGAGAGGGAGAGAAGGAAAGTGAAAGTGAAAATTTCACCCCTGTTTTAATTTAATTTTTTATACAACGACAGTCCAGTTAAATGATATTCCCCGATTGCCACTAAATTAAATTCTGTATAATAAAACCTCGATATTTCCTACATTATAATTCACAACAATTTTTAATCATTCGCATCTTGTCTAAATATAAAATGTGATATGACATGTCAAGCTGTCATAATGACAGATTGAATAAAACCAACAGTCGCAATGTATAGGGTGTAACATCAACATATAGGTCAGTATGACGGGTTGCCTGCGCCTATTCAGATGACAATGCAGAGGTTGCCAAAAAAGTCATTCGTTGACTTTGTTGATAATGATATTTGCAATGCTGTGACCAGTTTGCCAGTTGTGACGAGTGCAACTAACTTTGCACTGTGATCGTTATGACCGTTTATGACAGGAATCGAGCCTCATTGAATTAGAAAAGATATTTAAAAAAGTGAAGAGAAATAAACATTACGAATTTAAGCAGAGTAAATAAGAGTAATGGTTAAGGAGATAAATAATACAACATATTTTCTTGTTTCGCATAATTTTTTAATTTCTTTCTTGCGTTGAAAAGTTTGATAGGAATTGGAGATTAGAAAGAACGGTATAGAAATATTATAAGTCTTATACACTATATTCCATCCGTGTTTCTACAAAAGATCGCTTCTGATCGACGACAACTATCAAACCTTATTTTTGATAAAAAAGACGTCAAGATACACGACTACGATGTACCGCTAAATATGTCGCTTGATAGTTGTAGTCGACATTAAATTGCAATCAATATTTACAACTACGTTTCTGGTTGATTTGTATCTTTACAGAAGCGATCTTTTGTAGAAACATGGATGGAATATAGTATTTACGACTTCTAATATTTCTAACCTCCAATTTCTATCGAACTTTTCAACGCAAGAAAGAAATTAAGAAATTAAGAAACAAGAAAATATGTTGTATTATTTATCTCCTTAACTATTCTTATTTATTCTGCTTCGAATCAGACAGAGCGCGCGATTAAATCCGTAATGTTTGTTTGTAATATGTTTGTTTGTAATATGTTTGTAATTTCTCAGTTTTATTTTTTTAAACATTTTTTTTAATTCAATGAGGCTCGACTCCTGTCGTAAACTGTCAATAAATTGTCATAACGCTCACGATGCAAAATTAGTTGCACTCATCATAATTAGCAAATATTATATCATTATCGAGCAAATTCAACGAGTGACTTTTTCGGCAATCTCTGCATTATCGTCTGAATAAGGACAGGCAACCTGTCATATTTATATGACCTATATGTTGATGTTACACCCTGTATACGAGTATCGCGATGCGACATAAACATCAAAACCACAAGTGAGTTGTGTCGCAGCGAACGTTGAGGTTTTATCGAATCTTGATAAATATGTTGTATCGTTATATATCGCGACAATATCGAGCAGGAGCGGCAGAAGTTGGCAAAAAGGGCACGCAACGTGCAGCTGTCGCGTTATTATTCTCATCGTGCGTTTGATCTTTCACAAGTTTCGCCGGGTTTAATATCCCTTCGCAATTTGTCGCGCCCGTAGACCGCGATGGTCGACCTATTGGGGGATAAATATCGCCCTATTACGATATCGCGTGTGTGTTTGATAAATTATAAAAATGGCAAAATTGCGGTGCAGGTCGAGAATTCATTCCGTCGAAGCGTCGGACGAAGGCTATTGTTTTAATTGCGATTTACACTACTGTATTGTTATTTCCTACAAGGTTTGCGGTTCGTGCATCGATACGATGTGTAACTGTTGTGCATAACCGCACGGTTTTCATCAAGTTTCTACTCTCTCGTAGATTATTGCAATTGCGTGGGGGCTATCCGTCGTGGGTGATGCAAAGAATAATCGTTGAGGCCAGTACAAATATCTCCCAGATTTCCTTCCATATTGAGTCCGTCGTTTCTCATAATCCCGCGACCGAGTTCTCTACCGCTCTTTGTCACGTTTCTCTGAATGTTGAAGGTCGCGGGGAAACAATTGAAATTCTTACGAAAAGCCGGCTGCGAGGCTTCTTCTTGGCCGCTTGAAAGACGAGGCGAAAACTTCTACGGGGTTTCAGCGGCATTTTAAGTGATAGTGCATAATTTCCTGTAACACGAAGTTCGACCGGATAAGACTCGCGAGACTTGCATCTGCAAACGTCGCAAAACGATAACAAGCAAATTGCCGTTGACGGTCGGCCGCGAGTACGTCAGGACTTATTCTGCCGTTGACCACACACGAAGACTGAGTGGATAAGAGAACTGCAAATCCGATTATTGTTATCTTGACACGCATAAGCGTGAAAATGGCTGAAGCTTCCTTTACGCGTTTCTTCTTGTCCTAAATCACTGCATTTAATTCGTTTAGACATCATTTAGCACGTTTAAACGTATTAAATGACGTGAGATTCGAGACGAGACAAGACGTGTAAAGAAAGTTTCAGCTCTTCGATCACCTCAGCAATTACACGCTTATGCGTGTCGAAGTAATATATTTAGATTTGCTACAAGTAAAAGCCGGTCACAGCTTTGAGTTTTCATAATCATGAAAAAAGCCTCGGAGTTTTTTTCTGGGTAAACTGAAAAATGATGATTTCGCCATTGTCTTGTCAGTCGTATATAAATATCTGGAAATTTCTATGCATCGGATTAAATACTCAGATATTATATTTAGTGCGTAGTTTACTAATTACACGTGTTTACCAATTGAATGTGTAGTTTATTATTAGATCATTAAATATGAAATGTCCGATTTCGAATCAAAAGTTTGGTTTATTATACCTCAAACTAATACAATTATAAAATAATACAATTAATCAAAGTATGCGCTTAAACTATCGGCGCAGTTTTGCCATCTTAACGGCAGCTTGTTTATGCCAGCAGTGAAGAAGCCTGAAGAGTGATGACGAAATCGTGAAAAGGGTTTTCTACAGTTTGTTGAGAATTGAATATTTTTCCTTGCAAGAAGTGCCTGAAAGAACTGGTAAGTCAGTTGGTGCAAGGTCTGGTGAATACGATGGATGACAGAGAATTTCCAAGTTCAGCTCCTGTAGTTTGAGCAACGTTGTTTGTGCGACACGTGGTCAAGCGTTGTCTTACAAGTGGATTGGCCTGTCTCTATTGATCAATTTCGGCTGCTTAATCGTAAGCATCCTCATCATTTCGTCCAATTGATTATAGTAGACATCCGCTGTAATCGATCAACCAGGTTCCATGAAGCTGTAGGATAATAGCGCTGGACCACCAAACAGATACCATTAGCTTTTTTAGTGAATATTCGGTTTCGGACTGTGGTTCGGCACTTCATTTAT